CCATAGGGTCCCTATGGCCTCCATAGGGGCTATCAGGGTCCCTAGGAGCTGTAGGGGGCCCACAGGTATCATGAGTGGTTCCATAGGGTCCCTATAGCCTCCATAGGGGCTATCAGGGTCCCTAGGAGCTGTAGGGGGGGGCACAGGTATCATGGGTGGTTCCACAGGGCCCCTATGGCCTCTGTAGGGGCTATCAGGGGTCTATGGGGTCCCTAGGAGCTGTAGGGGGGTCCATAGGTGTCATGGGCAGCTCCATGGGACCCCTGTGGGCTCCATAGGAACTATCAGGTGTCTGTGGGGTCTATAGGGCCTATGGGGGGGGGTCCATAGGAGCTAATGAGGGGCCATTGGGTTCGTAGGTGCCATGGGTGGGGTCCACAGGATCCCTATGGCCGCCATAGGAACCGTAGGAGATCCGTGGGATTCATAGAAGATCCATGGGATCCATAGCAGTTATAGGAGACATAGGAGTCCATAGGAGCTATAGGAGGTCTGTAGGGTCCATAGGTGCCATAGGGGGATCCTATGGACTCCATAGAGGCCCTTATGATTGCTCAGASAACCTGTGGGAATGGGGCAAAACGTCAGGAGGGCCGCGGAGCGTCGGGAGCCGCGACGTTCCGGGCCGCAGCGTCCCCTCCGCGCGCGTCCCCGGCAGGACCTGGAGAAGGAGAGCGACACGCCGCTGCAGCAGGTCTCCATCGAGGAGATCCTGGAGGAGCAGCGGCTGGAGCAGCAGGCCAAGCTCGAGTCGGAGAAGCTCAAAGTGCAGGCGCTGAAGGAGCGCGGCCTCGCCGTGCCGCGCGCCGACACCCTCGACGAGTACTAGCCGCTCCGGATGGAACGCGGGCGGATCCGCACATCCCGGGGATACCGGCACGGTGAGGAGTGTCGCCGCGCGCGAGCGCCGCTGAGCCGATGCTTCGCGTTTCGCTTCGCGAGGGCCTCGCTACGGACGAGCGAATTGCGCCGTTGCCCTCGAAGGAACCGAATGCTCTGGCGAGAGTGAGATTTATGTTGTTCGGGAATCAAAGCCCCTTTTTGGTGTTTTTTTTTCCTTTTTTATTTCCTTTTCATATGTGACTCTGGGCGAGCGCTCATTCCGTGACCTGTAAATAAATCCTCAGTCTCCGCAGTGCCCCTTTTGCCCGGGATTTGCTGTTTTCTTGGGTTCCCTTCCTGCTGGAGAGCCCCCAGCGTGGGAATGGGGGAGGTTGGTGGAGCCCCAACATCTGGATGGAGCATCCCAACACCTGGACGGATGGACTAGGGCCCCCAGTGTGGGAATGTGGGGGTTTGGTGGAGCCCCCACCTCCTGGAACGGTGAAATAAAGTCGGCTTTATTTATTTATTTTGTTTTGTTTATTTTGTTTTGTTTATTTTGTTTTGTTTGTTTTGTTTTGTTTGTTTTGTTTTGTTTGTTTTGTTTGTTTTGTTTTGTTTGTTTTGTTTTGTTTGTTTTGTTTTGTTTGTTTTGTTTTGTTTTGTTTTGTTTTGTTTTGTTTTGTTTTGTTTTATTTTGTTTTATTTTATTTTCGGACCGGCTGCCCCACCATCCGGATGGGGAGCCCCAACATCTGGAGGGTGCCATAGAGCCCCCGCGTAGGGGGGCGGGGCTGGCGGGTGGCGCCAACAGCTGGCGGGGCGGGGCCTGGCCTGCTACGTCACTGGAGGGCGGGGCGGCGCCCCCTAGCGGCGGAGCGCGCCGCGAGGCTCCGCCCACGCGGTGACGCGACACGTGACGTCACGGCGGGGCGACGGGACCGTGGGGAGCGAGATGGAGACCGGGACCGGAACCGGAACCGTTCCGGGCCCCGACGTGGGGCTCGAGGCCGCCGAGGTCCCCCCCGTTCCGCCCGAGGTAGCGCCCGGCCCGAGCCCCGCTCCGGATCCCGCTCCGGATCCCGAGCCCCGCTCCGGATCCCGAGCTCCACTCCGGATCCCGCTCCCGGACCCCGAGCCCCGCTCCGGATCCCGAGCCCCGCTCCGGATCCCGCTCCCGGACCCCGAGCCCTGCTCCGAATCCCGAGCCCCGCTCCGGTTCCCGAGCCCCGCTCCGGATCCCGCTCCCGGACCCCGAGCCCCGCTCCGGATCCCGAGCCCCGCTCCGGATCCCGCTCCTGGTTCCCGAGCCCCGCTCCGAATCCCAAGCCTCACACCGGATCCCCGCTCCCTTCCCGGCCCCGTGTCCCTTTCCCGGCTCCTCATCCCGCTCCTGTTTCCCGCTCCTTTTGCTGCCCTCAGCTCCTTGTCCCGCTCCTCATTCCAGTCTCTTTTTCCCAATTCCCAGTCCCCTCCCCGGTTCMTTTTCCCCTCCCCATCCCAGGCCGGGACCCGGCTCCGAGCACCGGGATCTGCCTCGCCGTGAGCCCCGGGGGCCTCCGGGAGAAGCTCCCGGCTTCCCACCGGGAATTGGGCAGGGAATTCTGTTGGGATGCAGCAGCGAGGGCTGTTTCCCATTCCCGCTTCCATTCCCGTGCAGGCCCTTRGCCAACAGGCAGAGCTGGGAGCTCCGCGTTCCCCCCCGCCGCGGAAAGGGAGAGACCGGGAAAACTGGAGCTTTGGCTGGAGCGGGAGCCGGAGCGCCGGGTTCTCCTTATGGGAGCCAGGCAGAGCCCTGGGATGCGCTTGGCTCCCTCTTGAGCTCCGGGATTTCCTGAGCACGGGAGCGATGCCTTGGGAATTGCCATTCCCAAAGCCTGAAATCCAGCCTTTTTGCCCCGGGAAACTCCAAACACGGAGCCAACCCCCCCCCCACCCGCAGCCCCTACCGGGAGGGGATTCCAGGTGCCGGGAGGGGATTCCAGGAGSTGGTAACAGGGAACACCTGCACGGAACGGGCCTTTCCCGCCATTCCCGAGCGGCTCCCGCCGGTGCCATCAGGCACCTGCTGCCCTTGGCTCTCCTGCAAACTGCTCCCGGGATTTSCTGGGACATGTGTAGGGAGAAACGCCTGGAGGAGGCCAGGATGGGGACACGGAGCTGGGAAGGCGCATGGGAATAAGTAGCAGGAATAGGACATGGAGTGGGAATGGGGGACGGGCAGGGAGCCGCCTGTCCTGCAGCCCCTCCATGAGCTCCCTGKGGATGGGAAGCACCAGGAGACGGATGAGGAGCCCGTCGCATCCGCAGGAGCCTGGGGGCTGCGACACCGCCTGGATCGGGATCGGAATGGGCCTGGGCGGCCGCGTGCCTCGGAATGCCGACACGGAGCCATTATCCCTGGGGAAGGGCTGCTCCGTCCCCTATGGAACGAGGGGAGGCAGCCGGAGCAGGGACGGCGCCTGAACGCTCCCAGGAGCTCGCAGTCGGATCCGGCAGCATCCGCTGATTCCCACCTCTGTCCATCCATCCCCTGCAGCTGGAATTCCCCATCCTCCCGACATCCTGATCCGTTCAGAGCCCGGCATGGTGCTGCCAGCTCCCTGCTCGCGCTCCCGTCCGGATCGGCACCAGCTCCRGCTTCCCAGGCCGCACAGGACATGGACGACTGGGATGGAGGCGGGAGCGCCCGGCCGACGCTCCCGGCACYGGTAGGTTGAGCGGATCGCGTTTGGAAAGCGGGACACCGGGATGCGGGTCGGGCAGGGCCTCGGGCAGCACCGCRTCCCGCCGGCTCCGCTGCGGTGGAAGAGCCGGGATCCCGCGGGGCCGGAGCTGCCGTTATCTTATCGCGACCTCCGCGCTCCCTTTATCCGGAGCGGCCTTGGAGCGGGGCGTGTCCGGCCCCCCCGCGCCCGCCCCCCCCGGAGGGGCTCCCGTTTTGACGCTTTTTTGATGTTTTACACCCCGTTGGAYGGTCCTGCCGCCCTCCTCCTCCTCCCCGCTGCATCCCGGGATGCCGCTTCCTACGGGAACCGCGCGGCTGCTGCAGCCGGGAGATTTTTCCCTAAAAAAAACCAACCTGCCCCGGGATGCAGCAGCCCTTTCCCGTCCTCCTCATCCCATTGCATCCTCCACCTCGTTGGGACTTCCAGTGGGCTTCCCCGTTGTGAGGAGGACGGGARCGGGAGAGCGGCCGGGAGCGCTCCGAGCCCATCCAGGAGGCGCTCCGAGCTCTCTGGGAATGTGCTGAGCTCCTCCGGGATCGCTCCGAGCTCCGCGGGACCGGCTGCGGCCCCCCCGGCTCTTGCGCCAGCGGGAGGAAGGTCAGGGCGCGGGGCTGACGTCAAAGGCAGCGACCGGAGCGCGGGCGCTTCCCGCCCGGAGCGCGGCCGCAACCGGCACCGGGTCCTTGAGCCTTAGATAAGCGGATTCGGGGGGGGGAGCAGCAGGGGGCTGTTCCCATCCGGGGCTCTCCGGAGCGCTCCTGTCCTCCTAATTCCCCACGGAGGCTCCACGGCCGTTTCCTCCCTGAATTCATCCCGTTGGCTTTGGCCGCCGGAGCCGGTAGGGCTCCATGTCCAGCACYGTCCTCCAGGGACGCATCCTGGGAGCCCCTTGCCGAGCAGGCGGCTCCTTCCCTATCCTTGTTTTTGCTCCGGGTGCCCATTTGGGCCCCCCACTTTCGCCATGGAGCGCGGCCGGGGGGCTGGGAGCGCGGCCGGGGGGCCGGGAGCGCGGCCGGGGGCTCCGAGCGGATCCGAGCGCCGCTGGGGGCTCCGGGTGGCTCCGAGCGCACGTGCGGCCGCAGCTGCCGCGTGGCCTTGGCCCCGGCCCGGCCCGCCGTGAGTGACGGTCCTTATCGCGCCGCTGACGGGCCGGCATCCTTGGACGCTGCATTTAAGGCCGCGCGCACCCAGGGCAGCGGTGGAGGAGATTCCGGAGCGGCAACACCCGGAGCGGCAACACCCGGAGCAACAACCCCCGGAGCGACAGCGCCGACATGCTGCCCGCCACGTTCAAGCTGTGCGCCGGCATCTCCTACCGGCACCTGCGCAACATGACGGGTGAGGCTGCGCTCGGGGAGGCCGCGGCCTCCGGCAACCGGGCGGTTTTCCCGCCCCGGGGCAGTTTTCCAAAGGCTCCGTGTCYCCATTGGGCTCCCCGGTGGTTTCGTGGGGCGGCATCGGCGATGGTGCCGCAAACGGCCGAGCGCCGCTGCCTGGTCGGAGCCCTATGGGATCCGCCTGGAATAACATCCCGCCCGGCCGTCAGGACTCGGTGTCCGTGCGTGCCGTTTCCTCCGGCCTCTCCCGAGCTCCTTCCCCGTGTGCACGGAGAAGTCCGACGCTCCGTGGCTTTTGCATCCCCRTCCTCGTGCGCCATGGAGCCAAACGGGACTTTTAGAGACCCGGCTCTGTYCCGCAGCGGTTCGACAGCAAAACGGAGCGCGCGAGCGTGCAGGGGCTTCGGCGCAGGGCGAACGAGCGCTTTCGCTTCGGTGTTTGTTTATAACGTGAGCCGCGCTGCCGCGTGCGGCGCTCGGCCCCGCTCAGCGCCGCTCTCTCCGCAGGCCTCCGGAGACCGGCGGCCGTGGCCATCAGCCAGGAGCTGAGCAGACTGTCCGGCCGCGGCGCCGCTCCCGCCGCCTGGATCCACCACGTCCGCCGGAGAAGCTCCTTGCTCGGTGAGTTGGCCCGGGATCCCCTGGATGGGCAGAGCGTGGGAGATGAGCTTCATTCCAGGGAACCTTTGGGCCCGTTACGTGGTCCGGAGCAGGGTTATCCGGCCCCGCGGTCRCTGTTCTTAACCTCACGCTTTTTATCCCAACCCCTGCAGGCTCCAGGCTGGAGGAGAAGCCCCTCACCGAGCTGGAAATGTCCTACATCCAGCAAGGAGAGGAAGCCCTTCAGAAGTCGCTCGGCATCCTCGGCRACCAGGACGGCTGGAAGACGGAGACGGCGGCGGTAGGAGCTCCGCTTGCTGCAGGCTGGAGTTGTCCTGCCGGGAACACCGGCCGCGCTCATCCCCCCTTTCTTTTCTCCAGGATAACGGCGACAAAGTGCTGAGCAAGGTGCTCCCGGACGTGGGGAAGGTTTTCCGCCTCGAGGTGGTGGTGGAGCAGCCCCTGGACGCCGTGTACAGCGAGCTGGTGGACAACATGGAGCAGATGGGAGACTGGAACCCCAACGTGCAGGAGGTCAAGGTGGGAGACGCGCCTTCCCCGGGGGCTTTAACCCCTTCTTGCTTGGGGTGCCTTAACAAGGACCCAAGCCCCAACTGTGCCCACCGCTGCAGAGTTCGAGGGGACGCTTCTCCATCCATCCTGATCCTTTAGGATCGGAATTCTGGCTGCTCTCTTGGCTGTTTTCTTTTCARTGCTGGTAAAAAGCTCGTTTTGCAGCGATCGCTTTGCTCTGCCAGCACAAGCGAAGCTGGCAGACTCAGAGTTCCCTTCTCTGTAGGAAATGTGCGTGTATTTCACTGCAAAGCAACTGCAAAGCACTTAAGAAATAAGCACAAACTTAACTGTTATTTCTTTTAAAATAATTGAACAAGGTCCCAACGTGCAGGAAAGCATCTTGCTATTTCACAGCCTGTTCTTGAAACAAGGGCAACTTCAAGATAGTTTTTTCTTCAGCTATGAAAAGCTCGAGATGGGTATTTTGGGGTGAAACAACTGCTGTTGATGCCAAGAAAAAGTGTGCGTTCTTAGAGCAGGCGTGTGTATGGAATATGTGCTGGGACGTGCAGTGATCCAAGTGAAACAGATGGAAACCGCTTGGTTGCTCCTTCTCGCTCCAAGTTGCTGATGTGACTTCCATCCGTGCAGATCCTCCAGAAGATCGGGAAGGACACGGTGATCACCCACGAGAAAGCAGCCGCCTCCCCCGGGAACATCGTGGGGCCGCGGGACTTCGTCAGCGTCCGCTGCTCCAAGAGACGCGGCTCCACGTGCGTCCTGGCAGGAATGGCCACGCGCTTCGGAGCCATGCCCGAGCAGAAGGGCTTTATACGGTACCTTTTTGCTCTCCCTACGGTTTTTTTCCCCTTGTGAGGAAAGCGTTTGCCTAGAGAGGTGTATTGTTTTTCACACTCTTGTATTTACGTGCTAGCTCGGGAGCACAAAGTTGCTGTAACTGAGTTGCTGCCTTGGAGCAGCAGAATCAGTGTTTTACTGATGGGCTTGGTGCAAGCCGCACGTTTCTGCACACAGAGCAGAGAACGGCCCCACGTGCATGATCCTGCGCCCTGTGTCAGGAAACCCTTCCCAAACCAAGCTAACCTGGCTCCTCAGCATCGACCTGAAGGTAAGTCCTGCAGTTCAGCACCTGCCTCCATAACATCAACATTCCCCCAGCCTGGATTGACCCCTGTGCTGCTCTGCAGGGCTGGCTGCCCAAGACCATCATCAACCAGGTGCTCTCGCAGACCCAAGTGGACTTCGCCAACCACCTGCGCCAGCGCCTGGCCCGGGCGGGCGGCGCCTGCTGACGGCGGCGCCTTCCAGGGAACACGGACTAAAACATTAAAAGAGGGGTGTAAAGGTGGGTGGGGGGTGGCTCCTGCACCAACAGCCTTTATGTCAAGAAAGGGCTTTCAGTAATCGGGGTAATGGGGCCCTCGGTGCCTGCCCACGCTCGCTGCCCAAACACACAACTCTAAACGTTATTCCCAGAGCCACCTCTAACTTATTTTCCTGTACAGACTTGCATAAGTGTRTTTATTTATTCAGGCGTTTCTGGGCGGGGAAGAGGGGCTTCTGCTTAGACAGGGATGCAGGAAGGCTTTGCCCACAGCTCTTGCTTTTCCCCAGTATAATTCTTTTTTTTTTGGTGAAAAATCACAAAATTGTATCAGGTTTTCAAGAAAAGCTTTTTATTGGTAACTGGCTTCCAGTTTAATAAAAAATACAGTTCCGGGCTTTGCCCGTGCTCAGTCTTGCTGCCACACAGTCCTTGGGGTGGAGGCTGTTTCCAAAGGCGTTCAGCTGCAGCCTGCTCTGCACACGCTGTTGCCAACCCAGCACAACTGGGAACTTCATCTCAACACAACCAGTTGCTTCTTCAGGAGCTGAGACGCCACAAGCTGCCCACAGCACAGGCCAGAGGTGCGGCTGTTGCCTCCGGTGTGGCTGTAGCCATGAGGCCACCCCCGCCTCGGAACAGTCGCCGAGCCTAAAAGCCCCTCAAGCCGGGGGCGCGGGGGGTCCCCCCTTTAGGGCTCCCAGGGYGGGCTGCGGCGGCCGTCCACCTCCGTCTCCACGTGGTACAGGACGTCGGCCAGCGTGTGCTCCACCACGGCGCCCCAGCCCATGTCGCTCATCTGCAAAGGGGCCACACTCAGTTAGTCCTGAGCGGCACAGCAGCGAGGAGGGGGGAAAAAGAGGGGAATTACCTCACCAGCACTGTGGGCTGCACAGGGATTCCTTAAACAGCCAATTACCTCTCCAAGGAGTGCAGCTATTTCCCCCACTAGATGTTTTTGGGAAGAGGATTTTATTTAAGGCTAACAGCATCCTGTCTAAACGCATTATCTTCTGAAACGAGACAGGCTGTAGGTTTAACATCTTAACCAGCTCGTGCTGTTCAGAAACACGTCCCTTCCTTTAGAGGGCTCCAGGGCAACCCAGCTCCCATTTCTGCACCCCGACCTGGGTCACATTAAGTGSCTGTCAGTGCCAAGCAGAGCGGGGTTGTCACTTACGGGGCGGTAGGTGATGTCTCTGGGAGGATACTTGAAATATGGTCCAAAATTGATGGAAACCTGCAAAAGACACGTTTGGCAGTAGCTGGAGAACAAGGAAAAATAGTACTAGCTGGTACAAAAGCACATGAACGAACGCTGATGAAGTTCAGCCACGCAGGCCTAGCAGCAAAGTCRTGAATGAAAGAAGCAGCCTCCCCTYGAGGCAACCCCCTTTTAAACGTGGGAATTCCTAATTTAAGAGACACTCCTAAGCCCAAGTGCAGCGTGATACCTACCGTGCAGCCTTTGTATAGAGAAATAGCRGGAAAATAAACTCCCTCAAAAATGTCCTTAAAGGCAACGCCTTGGCTGACACCGTTTTTGAAGAAGATTATCTGAAAAAGGAAAACTGATCATTAGCGGGTCCTCATCAACCTCTAKATGTACCTCATCTTTAGGGCATGTTTATAGGTATCCCCCCTCCTATGGCAAATCTTTATGGGGCAGTAATAAATTGCCCAGTGYGATGCTTGCATCAAGGCACTGGTTTTTCCGAGCACATTCCCGGGCTGCCTCCCACCACGTCACTCACTTGGCTCCCGGGCGCYTGTTTCAGGCTCTTCTCTGCTTTGTCCACAAAATCTTTCTCCTCAAAGTACAAGTAGCTTTTGAACTTGATCAGAGCCTGGAAGGTGGGAAACAACCTCTTCAGAAACACGGCGCTCGGATGCAGGCAACAGGCAAGGGGGAGGCTACAAGAAGCTGTTTTCCACTAGCCCACACTTCCAAGCTGCACCTCTTACCTTATCTTTGTAGGTATCGGGCAGTGATTTAGCAGTCTCGGTGTCTTCYGGAAGACTGATGTAAAATCCCAGGATATCCCCCTGTCCGTAGCCGGCYGAATAGTGTTTCCCTATTGACTGGTGAAACTTGGTTCCCTTTTTGCTGCGCCAGGAGTAACTGAACTTGTCGTATCCCAGCGGAGCCTGGAGATTCCCTACAGAAACGGGCATTTCTCAGGGAATGTGCCACAGTGGAACGGGAACGGCGCTAAACAGAGCARTGCGCCCCAGTTCAAGTTTGTTTGTTTGGTTTTCTTTCTCGGTGGTTGCAAAACTCTCAGTTTGGAAACACTCTCAGCACAAAGACCTTGACTAATGCGATAAGCAAGGCCAGGCAGGCAGYGGCTCAAGGGATGCGCCAGCACTGCAGCACCTGCTGAAAACTTTCCACACGCTAAAGGGGTGGAAAAAYGAGCGCAGCGGCTATTACTTACTCTCCTGAGGTCCAAATTACCCAAAGGGGGAGAAAAATAATCTGCAGGAATCAGGAATGGCTGCTGCTGAGCACTTGGGATTTATTTACCTAGTGGCTGGGACCAGCCCAGCCGGGCAGCRGTGTCCGGCGGCATCTCGTCCATGGATATTTCGAAGTACCAGGCGCCCTTGCGCACGCCGTGCGACGCCCGCACCATGGAATAGCCCTTCTCGCCGACCACGGTGAGCCGGTCGTCGGAGATCTTCAGCTGGGGGGCTGCGGGAGAGGAGAGGGCGCCGAGCGGCGCTGGGGACCGCGTGGGGAGCAGAGAGCCTCTGCAGAGGGGGTCACTCCTGCCTCTGACAGCAATTGCGCTTGAAACGTGAATTGGACGCGCACACGGCCAGCAAATTTGGTACCTCGGTCGTGCAGCGCCAGCAGGACCCGCTCGTACARGCAGGCTCTGTAGAGATCCCCAGGGATGGGCTTCCCGGCCCAACAGTCCAGCTCCAGCTTCTCGGGGTCAGGCGCRTGCGGGTCGGGCTCGGCCAGGATGTATCGGTACCCGTCCTTATTGAAGGGGTGCTCCAAGGGGTAGCCGTGCGGAGGCAGCCGCTGYGCCGAGAACAGCGGGTCGCTGGGTGGGAAACACAAGGACAAGMGCTTGGCCTCTCCTGGAGGCCAAGGAAGGGCCTGGGGAGCAAGTTCAAGCTCTGAACTTGCCGCACAACAGGCGCAAAGGCTTTTATGGATGTCAAGTTGTACCGGACAGGGTGCTGGCGCCCGTCACYGCGCCGCTGCGCCGGCTTTCTCAGCTCTTTACCTTCTGGTTTTCTTGGCTGTTCCCGTCGTGCCGCCGTCCTGCTGCTTGCGTTTCGCTCCCCTGCCTTTCCCGCTGCCTCCTGCGGCGATTCCCCCTTGAAACAGAGGGCACAGGTCTTACAAAACCGGCGAYGGGAGAGCGCCCGGGAGCAGGGAATCTCCACAGAAAGGGGCAGACGCGGCCCCGTTGACATCAGCTCGTCAGCTCACGCGCACGCTGAGCTCTGGAACGCTTCATACAAAGCCCAGCAAAGCCTACAGCTTCTCTGCACTTTCTCAAACGTTGCTGTTTCTGAGTTAAGTGAGAGTGGGCAACTCAATGAGCTCAACTCAGGCTTTTAGGGGAAGAATTGGGGCTCTCTGCTCTCTCTCATCGGGTGATTACAAGGAGCAGCGTTTGGAGCGGGGCTGAAAGCCCCACCGGTGGCTTCCGTGGAGATTCCAGGCTCGCAGGTCCAYGTTTGCACTACACAAGATCTGGTTTTGAGCCCCGCAACGCCCGCTTTGCTGGGGAGGCACTCGGACCCCAGCACCTGCGTTAGCAATAAGCACTTGGGGTTAATCCAGAAAATAAAATCTCTCTCAGATGGGAAAAAAACGGGAAGCAATAGAGGTGTTTCTCCTCAGCACTGCCCCCCAATTACTGTCATTTGAGGAACGAAGAGCACAATACTTGGCGTTACAGCCCCCAGTTTTCCCTTGTGGACAAACAGGACAGGCTATATTGCAAATGAGAGCAAAACTCATACCAGCCATTCTGGGTTTTTTTCTAAATATCTCAAAAAGCCAAATGCTGGAATGAATAAACAATTCCACGGAGGAATATACTGCAGATAAACACCTTTATGCACTGCAGACTAGGGTGTAACTAGGAATATAGCAGGTCTTTAAATTATCAGCATTCCTCTTGCAGTGTAAGGGGTTCGGACCTTGGAAGGAGGATCATATTCTGCACCAACGTGACCATCTGAACCATATTTGCTAGTTTTGGCACCGACAAAAGTTCAGATTCTCCTGCTTTTTTTTGTCATTTATGTATCTAATTGATCGGGATATCACAGGAGTTTGCAGATTCAGACCRCTTATTTAGGCATTGGGATTCAGAGCTACTTGGAGACTACAATAAGCTCAGGTTAAATCCTAAAGGTAAAACCAAACTTAACTGAGAACAAAACTTTAATCCGGTCAGGTGAGGCAGAATATGATAAATCAAAAGCTTCCAATGGCTAAACTTTAACACAAAAGCACAATTTCTTTATTTTTTTTTAAGTATTACCGGAATCAAGACAGGACACACTTTTGATTTTTAATTGGGTTTAGCTTCTAAGACAATTAGGCAAAAAAAGCTTTCCAAACCACAATAATACTTAAGTTTTAGAAGCTGAAAGGCAAATATTCACCTCCCAAAGAGGCTCCACCTGTAAGAACAGAAGTGGCACCATGTATTTGCCAAACTAATTTGAGAAAAAACAACCATAATATATAAGTATTATTACTTATAATTAAGTATATTACTTATAAGTAATGGAATAATCCTGTGTACAAAGAAGATAGTTTGCACTACTAGCTTGGTACAAGAATTTTCATCAGCAAAATTCTTAATCACAACTCTTGCTTCGCAAAAGGGAATAACAGTAAAATGCAAGCAGTAATTTTAGGGCAGTTTGTTGTATTTAATTTCTACAATCCCTTTCAAATCTCAGCGTGAGGAATAAAAGAAATTTGGGTACATTAATTAAAAATATTGTGGAAGAAAGCTGAAGAGCTCAGCTTTCTTACATGCATCGCCTTGGACTGGCCACCAAAAAGAATTAAGCTGAACATCTGCAATAAGATAGATAATCTTTCTCTATGGAAAAAGGAAGGCCAGGTGGGCTCAGCGTGTGTTTGAATATAASGATAAATTTATTAGGTGAATTGTGCTTATTAACTGTAGGATTTCAACTGAAGAAACTGCACAGGGTGCCCAGGAATAACACTGAGAAAATGCAGATTAGTTCCAAATTATTAAAAAAAAGAAAGGCTAATTAAAGCACTTGCCATTTAGGTTTCCACTCGTGGACACAGCGTTGTTCTGCTTCTGGTTATCATAGGCTGGCCCAATATTGGCGAGATCCTGAGACGCGGGGGGACAAAGACACAGCCTCAGCCAAGCCCTCTGCTCCAAGCCCACACACGAACCATTTCCCCAGGGAGGGCTTCCAGGGGCTGCAGTGTCCCAAGACATCCCAGGGCACAACACAGGGCTCTATCTTGGTTAATTCGATGCTTTGGGGGGTGTAAAAACCACCAAAATGCAAGGCAAAAAGCACCCTCCCTGCCAGATCCCTCAATGCACTTTCCTTGCATTTCTAAGTACATACTTGGTCTAGAAGTCCAAACTTTGGGTAATCCTCTTCTGGGTCTTTACTCCCTGGGTCTGGATGTTCTTTCACCAAGAACACATCTCTCTCTTTACACTGCGGCAGGGGAGTTCAAGTCACACGGCAGAACTTTTCTTTAGAAAAGTTATGTTTCTTTACAAAAAAAAATGGCTCAAACGCGGCTCAAATGTAATTACTTACCATTGTTTTGACAATATTATTAGGCCAAGTCATCTTGCCAGGTCTCTGTCTTGTTGTCATGCACTCCCAATATTTATCGATGAAAGGGATAATATCCTGTTTWAAAAAAAAAWTCTAATCAAATCAAGGCTGATCCCAGGTSGGTCCTGGGATCAGGTACAAAGCAACTTTGGTCACCAGGGCTTTCACACGGAGTTGTCCCATCATTTTAATGCATATTTTTTGCATTGCATTTTAATGCATTGCATTTTGCATGCATTTTAATGCATGTTTAATGCATTTTAATGCTGGCAACTCAAAGTCACGCTGCACTGCCAATATTTGCTCGGTGTTGCTCTTTAGGGAAATCAGAACTTCGTTTAATCTTGACCAATGTCAAAACAGCCCTACCTTATCTTTGGAGAACATAGTTTTTGGGTGCTCGTCCTGTGTCCTTGACTGCCACGTTAAGTTGGCCAGAGCACTAAGGCACATTTCCTTGAGATCTTAAAAACAAAAATACATCAAAGCTTGAGGTACACTCTTTAGGGGGAGGATGAAACGCACTCAGACGCTTCCCATCTAAGGAAGCTCACAGCAAAACAGCAGTACATTTTTACAAAAAGTYTGTCACAAATCGGTCCTTTTTGCCAAGCTTCAGCAGACCCTCCCGGAGATGTTAGACAAAATGGAAAGGAAGCCTCTGGGATTATTTTGCACAGACGTTCAATGAGTCGGTTTTTGCACTTACTTGCTTGTTTTCTTAAGAAATAGGTGTTCCCACTATGGTGGCAAACGTTGCAATGGAAGCTGTAGTTGGTCATGAAGGGCAGACAGGATCTGGAAAAGAGCAAACCGCATTGTAGGCGCTCTGACATGTGGATTTCCTATTGAATCCTGGAAGAAATGGATTCTTCTCCCTGCTCCCAGTCAAAAACAATCAAGTCCCATGATATTTCCTGCAATTTTCCTTTATGCTCTTGGCATAAACCTAATTAAGTTTTTTTTTCCCCCTTTTTCTTTCAGGTAAGTCCTGAAATGCATTTAATGAGAGACTCTGAGAGCAGCCGAGCCGGTTGGCTTCTGCACAGCCCTCCGACGCCCATACCAAGACTTTTTATTGGACCTTCCAAGGAAACGTAAATATTTCCTGCTGTGTTTGGTAAAATTTATTATTATTTGCATAGCATGCTAGTTTCCACAGCGGGAATTCCCAAGGACAAGGACCCTGCCCTTGTAAACGCTCCGATTTTGCTCACACAAACCCACCCTAAGTTCAGCATCTGTTTTAGCAGGCAGCAACGCTTCAGATCTTGGAAGAAACTCCCAAACGGGCTCTTTCATGAAGGACTTTCTTTGCTGCACAACTAAAGACCAAACCCTAACTAACTTGGAGGTGTTAGTTAAGATTAAGTTAGTTAAGTTAAACGGAAGGTTAACTTGGTGCATATAACGTTGTGGTTGCACCGGTCAAGGACGCTACTGATGCCACGAGTTTCGTTTTCCCCGGGTTTAAGCAATTCCCTCAGCTGGTCTTAATTAGCCTCGACCTACAGGTTTATTCTCAAGCAAACGGGGGCCACGAACACTCAGAACCACTYGAGTTTCACGGGCAGCGCTTACATACGTGGTGTCAATGCCAAACGTGTCGGCCGTGAACCACTTGGTGCAAATGCCGCATTGCAGCTCGATCTCTCCAAGCTGACGGCCGTTCTCCTCGTCCACCGAGCCTGCCTGAGCGTCCAAGGCTTCGGAATTGTCCCCGGCACCTTCCTACGACCAGAGCAGGAAGAGAGGAAGCCTACGTGGAGAGGCTACGTGGAGAGGCTTCGATAGGGACCGGGAAAGGGGGGTCCCGTCAGGTCGGCTCGCGTGGTCCCACTGTGAGCAAATCTGAACTAATTTATTGATTTTGTTGGGACTAGGTGGAGGTAAAGGGGCATCAAYGGTAACAAGTGGCTCTTCAAATGTTAAATTTGAGGCCAGCAAGGTGTAAACTCCTGGCTGCACTCATGGGAGTGTGTTCCTTGGATTTTTATTTTCTGAATAAACAACTTTTGGATACTGGTAGGAAGCTGAAGTGTGTATAAACACCCTGTCTTTACTTGGAAAATTGGTGACATTTATCAGCTCCAAGACYCCTAACACGCTGGGCTGTCAGACAGCAGCTTTTATTCAGAAGATAAAACGCCTYTATTCAACCAAGCGACAGGTTTTCCCCTCGCCTGCGCCGTAAGCTGCTGCAGCGGCTGCTGCCGCGCTCCAAAACACGAAGCCTTTGGGGCAGCGCGGTGAGAAAAATAAAGAATAAGGGCAGGAGGTGGCGCCGGGAAGGGCGGAGAGCCCGGCCGGGAATAAGTGATACCCGCAGGCACCGACCCGCGGGGGACAGGCGGCATCCGAGTGCCATGGTCCCATGCAGGGGGCCTGGAGCCCCCCTGCCAGTGCTGGGGGAACCTACCAGGGGGTCCCAGAGCCCCCCGGTGCTGGAGGGACCTACCAGGGGGTCCTGGAACCCCCCGGGTGCTGGGGGAACCTACCAGGGGGTCCTGGAGCTCCCCCAGTGCTGGGGGAACCTACCAGGGGGGTCCCGGAGCCCCCCGGTGCTGGGGGAACCTACCAGGGGGGTCCTGGAGCCCCCCTGGTGCTGGGGGAACCTACCAGGGGNGGTGCTGGGGGAACCTACCAGGGGGTCCTCCTGGAGCCCCCCGGTGCTGGGGGAACCTACCAGGGGGTCCTGGAGCCCCCCGGTGCTGGGGGAACCTACCAGGGGGGTCCCGGAGCCCCCCGGTGCTGGGGGAACCTACCAGGGGGGTCCCGGAGCCCCCCCCCGGTGCTGGGGGAACCTACCAGGGGGTCCCAGAGCCCCCCGGTGCTGGGGGAACCTACCAGGGGGTCCTTGCCGTTGGCAGAGTC